GCGCGCCCATGCCGAAATCCTTCAAAAACCATCGGTTGTTGAAGGATTATAAAATCGAGTGCCCCAAAACCATACAAAAAACACATGGTCTCGCGACACGGATTTTCAACAAAGCGTGCTCGCGCGCTCTTGCGTCGTCGTCGTCGTCGCCGTCCTGCCTCCTCCCTCGTCGCCGTCGTCGTCGTCGTCGCCGTCGTCCTCCTCTGTCTTTCCTCGTCGTCGTCGTCGTCTTGGCGTCGTCGTTGTTTCCGTCGTCGGTGTCGCCGTGGTCGTCCTTCCTCCCTCGTCGTCTTCGTCGGCGTTTCGTCGTTGTCCCTCCTATTTCGTCGCCGTCGTCATCGTCGTCGTCGTCGTTGTCCCCGTCGTTGTCGTCGTCGGCGTCGCCGTCCTCTCTCCTTCTTCGTCGTTCGCGTGGTCGCCGTCCTCCCACTTCCCTCGTCGTTGTCGTCGTTGCCGCCGTCGTCGTCGTCGTCGTCATCTTCGTCGTCGTCGTCGGCGTCGTCGTCGTCGGCGTCGTCGTCGTCGTTGTCATCGTCGTCGGCGTCGTCGGCGTCGGCGTCGGCGTCGTCGTCGGTGTCGTCGTCGCCGTCGGCGTCGTCGTCGTCGTCGTCGAAGTCGTTGGAGACGTCGTCGGTGTCGTCGTAGTCGTTGTCGTCGTCGTCGTCGTTGCCGCTGTCGTCGTCGGCGTTTGTGTCGCTGCCAAGTGCCACTTGGTACCCACCGTCACGGTCTTAAGAGGTATTGCGGCCAAGTTGCGGGTGGGAGCGTGAGATGTTTGCACGAGCAGTGGAGAGGATAGCTTCAAATTGAGCAAGCGAATTGCATTACATAAGTGGCACCACATAGGCCTCCCCGCCGCCGCCTCGCATTCTCGTTACCCCCCCCCTCTCCCCACCCCCCGAGGCAAGGGGCGTCCCCCCCCTCGGCATGCGCACTTCACATGGGACCCACACCCACCGTTCAATTCAATAGTATAGTCTGATCATCCCGGCTGGGCCAGGGCGCCCCCGTATCATTCTTGCCAACTATTGTCATGCGCGCGTTCGCTTTCCACACACCCTTAATATCAGAAAAAGTGTGCAACGAAAGGGGCGATGTGCACGCGCGCGGGGAGGAAGTGCGCGCGCTGTCGCGCACGCGTGCCAACATCTGTCAAAGACCGGAGGTTCGCACGGATTTCAAATACCGAGCGCCCCTAAAGTTTATGAACTACATGGTTTTACAAAATGGCTGTTCAAAATAAGGTCGCTTGCGCGTTCCCGCGAATTCGCATGGAAACTTGTTGTTTATCCCGAAGCGTTCATCAACTGACTGCGGACACAGGGGCCTCTCGCGCGCGCGGGCCGAAATCATTCGAAGTCCCTTGCGCGCGTTCGGGGGGCGGCATTGCCCCTGCCAAATAACACCATTGAGGCCACTCGCGCCCGTCGGCCCTTCGCGCGCGCGCGAAATCCGGCCAACACGTTCATCGCCCACAAGCGGGGGCCATCATCGTGATCGGCATGATCAGCATCGGCGCCGTCAGTGGCCTTGCTGTTGGCCTTGCCGTCATCACTGTCATCGTCGTTGTCGACGTCGCCACGATGCCGCGCCCGCCCGGGTCACCGACTCGCACTGAAGTCTCCGCGCGTCAGCGCGGCCTGCGGGGCGCGCTGGGAAGTCCCCAGCAGTCAGCGGCAACGCGGACGCGTCGGTCGCGCCAGAGTAGTTAACCGCTCTGCGCGTGAGCCTGCGCGTGCTAGCGCGGCCGCAGCGATGCGCCAGCCAGCGCCAAGCAGTCATCGCAATCGCCACCGCGTGGGTTCTGCAAACCAACTTGCTGGTGCGAGCAGCGGAGCTGGCAACTTCAATTTCGGCTTGGTCAAGTGCAGCGCGTATATTGCACCGCGTAGATTGCACCGCGTAGTTGGGCGGCACAGCATGCAGTGCGCCGCGTATATTCTCCCCTTCTAAACGAATATTCGGGTCTCCCACCTGGGGTAAACGGTCCACCTTCTCGTTTATATGACTCTGCCCCATCGTCCATCTGAAATTTCCACTCGTGCCATCCCAGCCAGGTGGGAGCTCGCTCCCCCTTGACCCTGGGCACCAAATTATGCGCGGGCTCGCTTATCACAAATCGTCAGCTTGTCCCTTGCAACGCGTGGGGCGAAGTGCACGCGCGCGCGTCGTCGCGCGCGCATGCCGAAATCGCTGTAAACCCCATGGTCTCGCAAGGATTTCAAAACCGATCATCCGAAAAAAAATTGTATTGCAACAACAAAAGGATTTCAAACTCAGCATGCGCCCACGCTCTCGCAAATTCTTACAAAAAGAAAGAGGCCCTTGTTTGATTTCACCATGTTCAGTGCATGCTCCCAAACGGGCTTCTCGCGCGCTTGTCATGTTCGCTCGAACGCCCTTGAGCGCGCGCTGATGCAATCATCCCTTTCAATCGACGGGGCGACGCGCACGCGCGCGCATCGTCACGCGCGCATGCCGAACCTGTTCAACAAAACACCCAAGCAATAGTTGCTTGAAAACATATAAACACACATGGTCTTGCAACGTGCACTTTTTTCTCAGGGGAAACCCGCGCTCGCGATCCTGCATAGATGTTCAACAGTTTCATCGCATCCCCTGCCAAACGGGCCCCCCGCGCCGCATGTCGAATTCATTCGAACCCCCTTGCGCGCGCGCTGGGGGGGGGGGGGGGGAGGGGGCGCGATCCGTGTCAATGATACCGCGCGGGCGAATCGCGCGCGTCGGCCGCGCGCGCACGTCGACCTCCTTCAAAAACTTCCATCGCCGACGCGAGGACATCGTCATCGTTATTGGCGGGCGTGATCAACGTCGGCGCCGTCATTGGCCTTGCCGTTGTCACCGCCGCCATCTCCACCATCACTGCTACTTTCATAATCGCGTCTACTGTTGCATCGCCATGATACCGCGCCCGCCCAGGTCACTGATTCGCACTGAAGCGGCCGTTGGGAAGTACCCGCCGGTCAGCGCCGCCGAAGCCGCGTCGGTCGCGCCAAACTGGTCGGCAGCTGCGCGCGCGAGCATGCGCGGGCTAGGGCGGCCGCATACTCGCACCCAGCCAACGCCAAACATTCATCGCAATCGCAGCCACATGCGTTTTGCAAACCAAGTTGCGGGCGGGTTGGTGGGTGGGATGTTTGCAGGGGCATGGGATTGTCAACTCGCGTGTAAAACAATTAATTCTCTTTTCTAAAGAAAGAATAGACTCGACCCCCCCTGGAGCTCACGGGCCCCATTTTCGCATTGCAATTTGCATATGATTCTGTCCCATCGTCCATCCAAAACATGAGTTCTTACTATCCCGGCCAAACCGGCATCACTCCCCCCCGCCGTCCTCTGCAACAGGATTTTCTTCGCGCGCACTTCTTCATCGCAAATCATCAGTTGTCAAGAGCCCCTTGCAAAACTTACCTCAAAATCATCACGCGCGCGTCCACGTCAAAATCGTACCAACCACAGTGTGTTTGCAAGCAGTTCAGCATAAACACCTAAAAAGCCCAACGACTTTGCAAACCAGAATTTGCACATTTCCTGACCGCGCGCTCATGCTAAAATAAAGCAAAAACCATCGGATGTTTATTAATTCTGCCACATCCAGCGATTTCATGTCACCGCGCGGTGCACCCGCGATATTCCTGTCATGCGCCGAGGGCGCGAATCCCTGGCAACAAGTTACCACGCGGGCCACATGCGCGCACCGCCGCGCGCGCACTGACGGATTTGTTGAACTTCCGCGCGCGTGGATTTCCTTTCCAACCTTGTCAGCATCATCGCGATCACCTGCCTCATCGACAGGTGGACATCAGCATCGTCAACGTGTTTGCCATCATTGGCGCCGGTATCGTTCGTGCCGTCGCCCTCTTGAACATCGTCGTCGCTGGTGCCATCTTCGTCATTGCCGCAGACGTTGCCGACGTTATTTTGTCATCGCGCACGTCCGAGTATCATCGGTATGCTCACGTTCATCATCGACTCACGGTGGCGAGTTCCGGCAGTGAGGATGCGATCGTCGATGTCGTCATCGGTGGCGCCGCCGTCCCCCGCATCATGAGTTTTACCAAACAAGTTGCGGGTGGGAGGGTGGGATGTTTGCGCGAGCAGTGGAGGTGGTCAAACGCGGTGCAGTGAGTCAAGCACACTACATAGATACCGCCAGAAAGATTTCACCGCATACGTTGCACCACGTACATGGCACACTCTGTTCGGGCCCACGCTGTCTAACATATCTTGGACCCGCATTAAACGGGGAGCGGGGGGGCGATGAGGAAAAGGAGGGTGAAAGGGAAAAGAGGGGAAGGACGATGAGGAGGTGAGATGAGAGTGGGCTGCGGGAAAAAAAGCTGGGTGAAGAGGGCGGAGGGGGAAAGGAAACAGGGGAATGAGGGGAAAAGGACCGGAGGAGGGGGTGAGGACCAGGAAGGAATAAGTGGACGAGGGAGGGTCGAGTGGCGAGCGGACTGCAGTGACAGCGGCGATCCGCCAGGTCAGGCCAGGCCAGGCCAGCCGGCTGTTCGCAGCAGCGACGTGACAAAGACCCGGATATTCATAGGAGGAGGAGGAGGAGGAGCAGGAGCAGGAGGAGGAGGAGGAGGAGGAGGAGGAGGAGGAGCAGGAGCAGGAGGAGGAGGAGGAGGAGGAGGAGGAGGAGGAGGAGCAGGAGCAGGAGGGAGGAGGAGGAGGAGGAGGAGGAGGAGGAGGAGGAGGAGGAGGAGGAGGAGGAGGAGGAGGAGGAGGAGGAGGAGGAGAGAGAGGAGGAGGAGGAGGAGGAGGAGGAGGAGGAGGAGGAGGAGGAGGAGGAGGAGGAGGAGGAGGAGGAGGAGGAGGAGGAGGAGGAGGAGGAGGAGGAGGAGGAGGAGGAGGAGGAGGAGGATGGGTTGAGTGATCGGTGGGGTGAGGAGTGCTGGGGGATCGGGGGGGTGGAGCAGGGCGGGGGCGCAGCCAGAGGGGGCGGACGCACTGCAGGTGCGTCGGCTGCCCCACACGGGCGAGCGGCCCCCTGACCGAAGCGAGGAGGGGGTCGCCAGCGGGGCCCGTCATCGTGCGCCCCCCCACGCCCCTCCCGCTCCCACCAGTACACCAATCCACCATGCCGCAAGGAGGGCTGCCGAAGGACCGCAAGGACCTTGCGGTCCTTCGGCTAACGAAGTCGGCCGTGGGGAGAGGTGCCGACGCGCCTCCATAATTTGGACCTCACTACCTGAAGGCGCCAGTTGCCTTCACCCAGTGTTTCCCTCCCTCCCTCAGTTGGCCAGGCCCACCGTCCCGATTGGACGGGGCAGCTGGATTCTTCTGCCCCCGTTTCCTCAATGACCCGAACGTGGCACCCAAAGTCAGAGGAGCCCCAGTTCGCCATCGGGCACCTGAGGCGCGGAGGGGGAAGGGCCTTGTGAATTGTGAATGCACTGCTGCTGCTCCTCCGCAGCCGCTTTGGCTCGGTTTGCTTCCAGCGCGTCCCCCTGGTCGCCCAGAACACGCAGGTTTTCGACCAGCAGGTGAGGTGCAATGCTGCACGTCGCCTCAGCAGCAGCATTGGCTCAAACTGGCTGGCGGCGTGCACAGGGGGCGCGGCCTGCTGAGAAGGCCGGGTGAGGGAGTGAGGGGGCAGGGGCTTGAAGGCCCCAGAGGCTTTCAATCAGCATCTTCCGTGCCTTGTTTGAAGCCTCTGGGCCATTCTCAGAAGGCGCCTCCATTCTTGCCCATCCTCCTCCTCCTCCTCCTCCTCCTCCTCCTCCTCCTCCTCCTCCTCCTCCTCCTCCTCCTCCGCCTCCTTCTCGACCTCGTCCTCATTGTAATCTCGCGCCGTTTTGCTGCACAAGCCAAGGATTCACGTGCGGCCTCGCCTGTTGGAGGCGGATCCTAGCGTGGCTCCGGATCTGCTTGTGTCGCCCAGCGTTTGTCGCAGAGGGGTGCGATTGTTTTGCACCCTACCTTGTCAGACGGTCGGCCTTTTGGCGCCACCCCAGACGTTCGACGTCGCGGCCCAGAAGTCCCGCCCCGAGTCGTTTTTCGACGGGCCCGGGGCCCGGTGAGCGCCTCGAGAAGCCGACAAAAACTACGTCTCGAATTCCGTCCCGATGTTGTTCGATACGTTGGAGGTCTGGGCTCGCCCCCCGCCCCCCGTGCCCGCCGCCACACCAGCTTCGCCCGGCTCACCATCTCCTGCGCGGGCGCCTTCGCGCTGCCCGCCGCGCTGCTGCTCTGCTTGTCCGTCTCCATCTGTTCCGCGCTGCCCCACGCGGTCTTGGCGGCGCTGGGCCTGCCGGCGGCCGCCCGGCGCGGCCTCCTGCGGCTGCGCGCGAGCCAGCGGGACTCCGAGGAGGGAGACCCTGAGACCTGGGCGTGTCATTTTTTTTCGAGCCGGGCGTTTTCGCTCGGTCTCGGGGCCCGGGACCCTCACAGATGGATCAGGCTCGAGAAGTGCAACAGAAAGATACGGTCCGGGGCTACAGTCGTGAAATCTATGTGGTGCCTCAATTTTTCCGAGACGTCGGATCTCAGGGTCCTGCAAGGCCCCCCGCCGCCACGGCCAGGTCCGCCTCAGAGTTCTGATCGGACGGCTCCGTAGCCATTTCGGCTCAAGCGACCCACACGGCGACCCCGACCCCGCCCCCTCCCCACCGCTCCCCGCCGGGGTCCCGAGAGCTCGTCGCGCCATGGCCATGGTCGCCGCACGCCTGCGGCCCGCGTTCGGAGCGGCGCTCCGCCGCACCTCGGCGCTACCGGTCGTCGCGCGCGCGGGGGCGCCGGTGCGCGTGACGGCCGCGAGGGCCTTCAGCGGGAAGGCGGGGGCGAAGGTGTGCAAGGTGATCGAGCAGGAGCTGAAGCACGAGGAGGAGAACTACGAGCAGGCGAAGGAGATCAAGGCCTTCCTGGCCTCTAGCCCGTTCAAGCTGGTGGACGAGCCAGGCAACGTGAACATGGTGCTCGAGCGAGAAATGGACGGCAAGGTCGTCAAGATCGAGTGGCAGCTCATGCCGCCCTACGACCCCGAGGGCGACGCCGAGGGCGGAGAGGGCGAGGAGCCCACGGCCACGGAGCTCTCGGTGTCGGTGGAGAGCAAGTCCACGGGCGCGGGGCTCATGTTCTACTGCAGCACCCAGACCGGCGAGGAGCACCGCTATGTCATCGGCCAGGTCAAGACCTACGCCTCCGCGGAGGAGCGCGACAGCGTGGGCGCCTACAACGGGCCCGAGTTCGAGGACCTTGACGACAAGCTGCAGGAGGCGTTCGACGAGTACCTGGCCGAGCTCGGCATGTCCAGCGAGGTCTGCGACTTCGTGGACCAGATGGCCGTGGACAAGGAGCAGCGGGAGTACTGCAGGTGGCTCCAGACCGCCAAGAAGTTCCTGGAGTGAGGCTCGATGCGCGGTGGTCCGGACGGGATGGGACGCCGAGCCCTCGGAGAGCAGCGGCCCGCAGCCGCGCGCCGCGCGCCACGCGAGCGGCCCCTCCCTCGGCTCCCGGAGGGCTCCGGGCGAGAAGTTTTGTCTGTGTCCGGCTGCACGGGGAGCCCCTCTGCTTGCGCAAGACGCACGATGTCTTGCGCTGCGAGGCCCTCGGCGCGGCTCACCCTTGCCAGCCCGGCATCTCGGCATCTCGGAATCCACCTCCGCCTTAGTTGCAGACCCGCGGCCTCTACCCACTGGGCTGACCTAGGGGCTGACTTTTCGCTGGCGGAGAGAGAGATATAGAGAGAGAGAGAGAAAACAAAAACAGAAGCGTTCTGGTCGGACGGCACCTCTGGCGAGATCCAGGGATCAGCGGTATCAGTACCTTTGATGCGTCCTCTGGCCTCCGCCTCTTGCCCCGTGTTCTTGCTCCTTCCTCCTCGTGCCGGCCCTGTCTCACGATTTTTAGTGGCAGTCCTATTTTCTCGGAGTGCTGCTTCTCACTCACTTGGGTCAGGGGGTGCTCGCCCGCGAGCACTTGAGTCTTTTAAGGAGACGGAGTCTGGCAGCGGTACCTTGTTGTTTCCCCAGGCTCAGCGCCACCGAGACGGGTACACAGTTAATAGGCTTTTCGGCAGTTCGTCGGATGGTATCGGCGGGGAAGCACACCACGTCGTCTGGTCGGCCAGGGAGCCAAGGAGTTCGGCGAACGAATTTGGCGTACAGACGCTCCAGCGTCCCATTGGTGGGGCAGCTGGGACCTGTAGACAACGAGCTTCCCCAGCCGACCAAGCGACGTAGCGTACACATGGGGCCCCTGCCAGTGTACAGGAAGGCGGCAAGGGAGCGGCAGGACCTGCACCGCTCTCGCGCGGGGCATCGTGCAGGAAAGCAGCAGGAGGGACAGCGTCTCCTCTTGCGTCTCGGCCGGCGGCCAGCGTTCTCCCTCGGCCGAGCGCCCGTCAGAGCGGCACCAAAGGACAAGCGCGCGTGCGAGGAGGCGCTGCTGGCCGCGAGCGCCGCCGCGGCCGCCTGGACTCAGGACCCGGTGGTGAGGCGGCGGGCGCGGGCGGAGGGCCAAGGCGGACTGATCTCGGTGGCCGGGGGTTGCCGAAGGTGCCCCTGCGTCCAGGGTGTGTCCCCAGCACCCCACGCCACTGGAGCCCCCTGCAGCGTCGTGAGGGGGCGCGCTCTGGAGGCCCTGGGGGCCTCCCTGGGGACACCTCTCTGCGACCACTTATGAACCCTACCTAAGTAAGACCCGTACGCATCCTGTCGACTCTGGGGTATCGGACGGCCCCGCTGGGGCTCACTTGGATGCAGACATCCCTCGAGTCCGGAGTCTCAGCCGGCGTGTTTCTCAGGAATCTCAGCAGGGGTAGGGTTCACACACGCTGAGCTGCTTATCCAGGGGGCACCTCAGGGGCCCGAGGGCATCTTACAGCCAACCCGCACAGCAAGGGTGAGCAATTTTCCGAGTTTACCCTTGCATCCTTCCCCTTCGGCCCATCCTTGACCGCTTTCGCTGGCCGTGGCATGCCCACAGAGTGTCGACATGGCCTTACAAGGCCTCTGCATTCTCATCGCTTGGTATCGCTCGGACGTGTGTGTGTGTGTGTGTGTATGTGTATGTGTATGTGTATGTGTGTGTGTGTGTGTGTGTGTGTGTGTGTGTGTGTGTGTGTGTGTGTGTGTGTGTGTGTGTGTGTGTGTGTGTGTGTGTGTGTGTGTGTGTGTGTGTGTGTGTGTGTGTGTGTGTGTGTGTGTGTGTGTGTGTTTTCTTCGGCGAGGACCATAAAGGAGCAGACTGGATCATCTGACGAAGCAGTACGCGCGAAAAATGCACGGGGAATAGACATCCGAGCGATGGCGGGTATCCTGCGTCCTTATTGTACGTGCTGAATGTATGCAGCCCCGCCCAAGGCGGGGGCGCAGCTGGACCCCGTCGCGTGAGGAGCTCGGCCGCGCCGCGATGACCCCGCGCCGCGAGCCGCGTAGCACCCTGCGGATTGCCCGGGCGCCCTGTGTCCTTTCGGCCGACCCCGCGCCTCACTCGACTACACCTAAGAGTGGCCCCTCGCCGGAGTGACCTTTGGTGCGGGCTCACCGGGTCACGCGGGGTCCCCACGATCGGGCGGGTGGCAATGGGGGTGACCCAATGGGGGGTGAAGAAGTAGGCCCTAAAGGGCCCTTTTCGGGCCCTTCTCTTCACCCCCCGTTTCAGTCACCCCCCTCATTGCCACCCGCCCGACCCGATCGCTGAGCGCGATGCGATGGTGGCTGCTTGCGCGCTTGGATTTGGCCACCCTGCGCCCCCAGGAGTCCGCGCACCACCCTTGCCTCAGGGTCACTCTTGTGTGTAGCCTGCCTCAGGGTCACTCTTGCGCGTAGCCGACTCACGGGCGCGCCCTCTGCCCTCGTGTTGCCGGCCGCGGGGCGCTCCTCGGCCGGCCTGCGGCCCTCTCTCTTCTCGCCCTCGGGCTTCGGGCCGTGCTGGGGACTCTGCGGCAGGTGCGCGCGCGCGCCCGCTGGCAGGACGTTCCTAAACAGTGGCCGTTACTCTTCTCATGCTCCTTCCTGCTCATCCTGCGCCTCCTCCTCCTCGTCCTCACCCTCTTTCTTTCCTCTCCGGTCCCCTCCTTCTACACCCCCCCTTTTCTCCCCACCCCTTTCCTCCCCCCCCCCTACCGCTCTCTCATTCTCTGGCGCTTCCTGCGCGTGTTCCTGCTGCTGCTGATTCTGCTGCTGCTTCTCCTCGTCCTTCTGCTTCTCTTCATCCCTCGGGCACTGTCCTGAAGCGCTTTTCGAGTCTCGTCGGAACCCCCGCGATGGTCAACTCGATCGTCCCCTTCGGATGAGGAGGAGGTAGTAGGACTAGGAGGAGGAAGTTTAGGGGGGGGACTGGGGATGGAGGAGGAGGATGAGGAGGAGGAAGAAGCAGGAGAAGAAGAGGACGAGGAGGAGGAGGAGCAGCAGGGGGGCAGGAACGGTATGAAGAAGGGCGGGAGATGGAGGAGGTGGATGAGGGGGAGCAGGGAGAGGGGGAGGGGGAAAAAGAGGGATAATGATAAGCTAGGCGCCCTCGCGCCTGATCTGGCATCCTACCCCTCCCACCCATCGCTCACGTTTGCGCTGATGTTTGCCTCTATCCCCGGACGCGTGTCATAGCGGATCTGGAACTCAACATCAAAACCCCATCATGTGATGCGCAATCGGAAATGGGGAGCTGCGCACGTATGAGAAGGAGGAGGAAGAGGAGGAAGGTGGCTGATAAGTTGCAGGAAAGGAGTAGGAAGAGGAAGGAGGAGGTCAAGGACGAGCAGCATCAGGAATTAGAGTGGAAGGGTCTGGAGGAGCAGGAGGACCAGGGGAAGGCGGAGGAGGGGAAAAGGAGGGCGGCGACAACGATGCGACGAGGAAGGGCTCGGATCCGGAAGGGTGGCACGCGTTGGGGCGAGAGCGCCATTCCGAACGACGGGAGCGAAGCCCCGGTCCTGAAACGCGGCCTGTGCTGCAGAGGGAGCACCATCTGGGAAGCAAGGAGGACGCCCAGGCTGAGAGCAGCACACAAGACAACCGACTCGGACTCGCCCCGTGTGTGCACGCACGCGGAGAAGGAGCGCGTGAATCGCAGGCCGTCGGCGGGGGAGAGGGGAGGGTAGGACCCATCCTGTGCCATGGCGGAGGGGCGCGGAGGATGAGGAGGAGGAGGAGGAGGAGGAGGAGGAGGAGGAGAAGGAGGATGCCGACGGGGGAAGGAGGAGGAGGAGGAGGAGGACGGGGGAGGGTGGCGACGACGGAAGGGGGAGGGGGAGGAAGATGGGGACGGATGAGTGTAAGGAGGACTGTGATAAGCAAGATGAGGGGGGTCAAAGGAAAATGATGCGGAGTAGAGGATGAGGAGGTGGAGCACGAGGATGAGGAGGCAGACAATCGAAGGAGGTGGAGGAGGTGGAATTATATGAGGAGGAGAAAACCTCAGTGCACCCCAGAGGGCCTAGAATTGCATAGCCCTCCCCCGCAGACCTGTAGTCATCCTCCATCTGTCCTCCTCCCTCCTCTCTCCGTGGGTTCAGTGGGCGCCGCCAATTCTGGTGGGGGAAACTTGCCAGCTACGGCTCGCCGATCGGGTGTGCGATAAACATCGGCATGTGACCGCGGCCCTGTGGGAACGCACGGAACCCGATACAAGGGCGCGTGCCAATACGACGACCGATTGCCCAGGTGGTGGGAGCCGGCCGACACTGGACCGCGGCATGCTGCGCAGGGCTTCGCCTTGCCAGTGGCACGGGGGAGCTGGCTCCTCGAGAGCGGCGGCTCGACAGCGGTGCCCAGCGCAGCAGGGCAGAGCTGCCAGGCGCTCCCGTGAAGTGCTCCCTTCGCTCGCGCGCCGCCGAATGCACACCGACGGCAGCGAGCAGAAAGCGGGAGGGCGGGGGGGGTGAGCAGGAGGACGAGGAGGAAGAGCAGCAGGAGCGCCCGAGAGAACAGTCTGCCAGGATGCGCGGTACGGTGCCCGCGAGAGGGTGATGGTTTTGGAGCGTCCTGTGCGGAGGGTTTGGGGCGTCACTGTCGGCGTGGCCGAATGTTTTATGGGACGGTTCCGGGTCTCGCTGTGAGAAGGATGATGGGGAGGCGGAGGACGAGGAGGTGCTATTTTTTCAGTGCCGCCCCAGATCCTGACCCTGGAGGCCCTTGGACGCCCCGGGATCGGAGATTGATTGACCCCTCACCTTGCCTAGTCGCTTCGCGAATTGCCTTTTTCTCTGTCCTCGATGGGGGTGTGACGGCCGCAAGTTTTGCGGGCCTCGCCCGCTTGGGTCCGGTCCCGGGTCTTTCTCATGCGGTGGTGTTTTGCTGGAGGGGGGGTTCTGTCCACCCCCCGAGCCGAGGCCCCCCAACAAAGGGCTAAAGACATACAGCCAGGATGTTCGGATGAGGACCATGTCGGGCTCAGAAGATGCTCTGGTGTTCGGGCCGTTCCAGAGATCTAGGCCTAAGTCGGGCATGTCCCCCTACAGGAGGAGTATTCAAACATGGTCCAAAAATAATATCGGGACAACTTTTGTGAGTATGTTTCTCCATTGTTGGATATGATAAAAAATCGAAAATCTGAATGTAGGAGGACATGCCCGACCCAAATCTAGGTCGGGGAGCCTGGTCATGGCCGAGGCTCGCCGTGGCCAGGACAGCCCGCTCCTGGAGCGGTCCTGATGGTAGCACGGTGGCTGCACCAAGGCCTCGCGAAAACGTCCCGGAGCCTCCCTTCCTCGGTGCGCGAGTGGCGAGGGCAAAACTCAGCACGAGGCAGGAGCGGGAGGAGGAGCGGGAGGAGGCGGAGGAGGAGGAGGAGGAGGAGGAGGAAGAGGACCAGTGCAAGCCCAAGGCTCATCAACGATGTTGGAACAAGCCCTCCCTCCAGGCTCGCTCTTGATAAGCCCTTACAAGAGTACATATCCCTTGAGGGAAGTGCCCCGTTGGGTGACAGCCGTTTGAAGACCCTGAAGACCATTTAGGGTCATGAGTAGTGAGGAAGTCTAAGGAGAACCGTCCGGCCCGCCCTTTCGACCCGCTTCGTGGCGCGACAGGGAGGAGTTACCGAAAGGAACAGGAGTGGAGGAGGAGGAGGAGGAGGAGGAGGAGGAGGAGGAGACGAAGAAGGAGGAGGAGGAGGAGGAGGAGGGAGAGCGAGGAGTGACGAGTGAGGAGTGAGGAGTGATGAGTGAGGAGTGAGGAGGAGCGAGGAGCGAGGAGCGAGGAGTAAGGAGTGAGGAGTGAGGACTGAGGAGCGAGTCTTGGGCAAAGCCCAGCACGAGCCGTGGCCGGAGACGCGTGGGTGGGAGGAGTGGCCGAGGAGTTGTGCCTGGGGCTGCCCTTCCGAAACCCTGCCGCAAGGCATGGACCACTGGGTCGCGCGCTTCCTCGACGACCCGCGCGGGGCGGCGTTTGCACGGAGGCTGATGGCGCAGCCTGGCATGGCCGACTGGGTAGAGTCCTTCCTAGGCCTGCTCCAGGGGGGAGGAGGCGGAGGAGGGCGAGGGGGCGGGGGCGGGCTGAGCGCTGGGCGGGCTGAGCGCGCTGTTCTGCCTCATGCTGCAGCTCCTTGCGCAGACCTGCGCTACGCCGTGCAGGCCTGTGCCGCCCTGCTTTGCTCTACGCCAGCTGGGCTGCCCAGCCCCAGCCTGCTCTGCCCTGCCCAGTCCTGCAGACTCTGCGCTCTGCTGGGCAGCCTGTCCTACCCAGTTCTGCCCTGCGCCGAGCTGTCTTCCCCTGTCCTCCACTAATCAGCACTGGTCTGCAGTGGCGTGCCGTGAGCTGCCTTGCCGTACGCTTCCCTCGCTTGCCGTGCTCTGAACAGCAGTGGTGCCATACATTGCACACCATTGCCTTGCAGTTCCATTCAGTGCACTGCGCTGTTCTGCATTGCGAAGCACTGCCTTACACTGCGAGGCCATTCACTGTACCGCTTATTCTGCACTACCCTGCACAGCATTGCTCTGCACTGATTTGCGCTGGCCCGCACTTCGCTGCACGGCACATGCTCTACACAGGCCTGCCCATATTCACACAGCATTGGCCTATGATGCATGCCCACATTGCGCTGCACTGCACTGCACTGCACTGCACTGCACTGCAATGCCACGCATTGCACCGTAGTGGTTGCAGTACGCGCTCTGCATGGTGCTGCGCCGTGCCGTGGATTTCATTCATCATCTTTTGCACTCGCCGCCTGCAAGTTAGGGCATGGCCGTAAACGATCGCATGGACAGAGGCTTGCAGGAAGGCCGTCGCCAGGCCAAGCGGTGGCCTCCGAGGCTGGCCCTCCTCTGCCTCCTCGCGCTATCTTCACCCACGTCTGGGACGATTGTAATCCTTCTCTCCGCCCTGTCCATGCAATAGTTAATTGAATTGTTTCGTCTGCGTTGCGTCCCGCCATCGATGGATTGGCCTGACGTTCTCCCTGTGTCGCACTCGGTTGCCGGCCTGGTGGTGCAAACAGTCTTGCACAGACAGAGCGCGCGAACGCCAGGGTCGCCTGCCTCCAAGGAGTTCGTCATCCGCCTGCTCCAGCAGCCGACCGTCCCTAGGTTCTCCCGCCCTCCAGCATCGGGGGACGCTTTCCCACCTGCACCGATCCTGGCAAGGTGATTTCATTGTTTTCGCGCAGGGCATCCGGGTCCGTCAGTGAACCCTCGCCGCCGCAGAGGTATTCCCCGAAACGTTCAAGCGACGCGCGGAGGGCACCATATCGGCAGCGCAGAGCTGGCCAGGCCAGGATCGGTGCCCACGGGTGGTTGGCGTCGTCCTGCTGCGGGCAGGTCCGCCCTCGCTGCAGCCCCGCGCGCCAGAGGAGGAGGGGCGGGGGAGGGAGCAGAGCAGACGCTTTTCGGCGGGTAGCCGGTATTGGCCCGCGTCTACCGTAGTCCGCTCCCTCCCCTCCTGTGTGGGCTGTCGCTGCTCGCCCCCCCCCCCCCCCACCGCTGCTTGGCTCGCTTGAACAGACCGCCACCCCAATTACCGCAGTTTCGGACAGGACGACGACGGCGCAGGCAACGATGCAGGCGATTGTGCAGGCAAGG